TTCTGTTAAAGTAGTATCGTTAATTGATGATTGATCCAATATACTACAATATCTAATGAAAAATTAACATGAATATTTCGTTCTTTTTCTTTAGTATGAAATAAAAAAAAATTTCTTACTCATCATTTTGTGATCCTTGTTCAGATAAATATGAATTCAACATATTAGATGATGTAGGAATTGTTACTGGTGTAAAATCGAATAAGATCTTGTTTTTATTATTATTATTATTATTATTATCTGATGATACTTCAACTACATTCATAAGACAATCGAACCATAATTCAGCTGGAATATGATCTGATTGTATAACTTTAAAAATAGTTTCTATTGGTAGTAATGGTGCAATAATAACTTTATGTGTAATAAGTTCTCGTAAGCATTTTAGATTATTGTTTAATTGTGCTGGGATTGAATGTTCATATTTACTTGTCCAATCGGCAATAATTTCTACTAAGTGTATCTTTTGTTCATTTGTCCATGACTTTAATGCGCATAATCGTTCATAGATAATGTTATAATGATTATTTATTGTGTTTGATGTAGACATTTTCGAATTTAAATGTTAGTTTAGTGAATGTGAACTATATTTAAAAAGAATTATGAAATAAAAAATAAAAAGAAATTTTATATCTTCATTCCCACCAGTATGAGTCATTTACAAGTTTTTTTTTTAAAAAAACATGCAGTTGTTGCTATGCATTGTCTATATGATTAATCGATCGACTGAAAATGATTAATGAAAAATGTCTATACTCTCTGAATCATTGTAGAGTTAGTTCGTTCTGTATGTCTTTTTTTCACATCGTTCTCTAAGTGTTGTTTTGTATATCCTTTTACGCAATGCTGGTAAGGTAAATTTTAGCTATGAGCTATGGATGAAGACAAAATAAACATACACGCCTTCAATCACATGCTATGAATTCTTATTTTTTCTACAAAATAACATTCTGGAAAATGAAAGTTCTACTATGACAATACTTTTTTGATAATAGAATGCAATTATAAACTTTTGTTTTTGACTTGTAACAAAATGCAAGATGTTTTGATGTAAAAACAAAAAATATAATTTTACAAAAAATGTACCCCTCAATACTATCTAACAACATTGTTTTCTTTATAAAAAAAAAAGTCTTTTACAAGAAATTAATAAATCTATATTCTTACTTAGCTTCCCGAATTTGCCCTAAGGATAGAAAAAGAAACAAAAAAAAAGTTTGTTTTAATTTTGTGTTTTATATAGTTCAATTCCTTGAAAATTCCCAAATATGATGTTTACAAAGGCCCTAGATAGTTATAAATCTGACGATTTTATTAAGATAAGACGCTTGTTTCTATCTCTTGTTATAAAAAAGAAACGCGATGTACGTATTTACAAGAATATTCACAAATATGCACTATGAAGCATGTTAAAATTATCTATATTGAACAAAGTATTATTAGTTCTAAATCTAAATAAACAATATTGTCCTATTCAATTTTGGATAGTGAATCAGAAGAAAAATTTCTTAATGAAATTCGAAAGAAAAAAATATGTTCGTAATTATAAATGCTACGTATTTAATCATCGACTTTTTTCGTTCTCTTCTTTAGTGACACCCTAAACAAATCGAAGTAAAAGCTATAGCCCCAGGTCCAGTGTTACGGACTCTGTATACGGTCGTAAACGATCGTATACGGTCGTAAACGATCGTATACGGTGTCGTATACGACCGTTTACATGCCATATACGCTCCGTATACGATCGTATGTGGCCGTAATACATGTGATCGTATTACGATCGTATATCTCCGTGGTCGTATACGGAGAAATACGAAGCAATATGGAGATCGTATACGGAGCGTTTATGGTCGTAAACGACCGTATTATCTCCGTATGCGATCGTAAACGATCGCATTTTGTCGTCTATATAGAATGATTTCAGCACATAACATTGATCGGTGCTATATTCACTGAGACATACACCTAACTATCTACCTATCTATCTGCCTACCTACCTATCTATCTATCTAACTATCTACCTACCTACCTACCTATATATCTATCTATCTATCTAACTATCTACCTACCTACCTACCTATATATCTATCTATCTATCTAACTATCTATCTACCTATATA